AGCCTTGCAACTAACATGTTCTTAAGGTCTCTGAATAAAAATAATTTAAGGGTCCTTTACAAAAAAAGAAGCTTAATGGTAGAGAACTATCTTCCTGGCCCTACGCTATTTATGAGGATATAAAAACTAGAAGCTATAGTTTGGTAAACACTTTGAGGCCCAAACCTCTACCTAATGATTGAATGGACATCTCAAAATTTCACCAAAAAGCTAGCTAGCCTCCTGGGTAACAATGTAACACATAGCACCTTTTCCCCCATATGCCTATGAAGTTAGTCCATTTTTTGTTACTATTTTGAAGTATCAGAAGCAGCCTAACTTTATTTTTTAAAGTTCTATTCTACTCACAGTTCTGGAGGTTCATGGGTAACCACAAAGTGTGAAGGGAAGCAATCAGTCAAGGGGCTGTGGCAGTAGCTCAGTGGTAGAGCACTTGCCTAGCACCCATGAGGCCCTTAGCACACAGGAGGCCCCTGCTTAGTACACATGAAGCTCTGAGTTAATATTCCCAGCCTCAGGTCTGATGTGGGGGAAGCAACCACTTACGGGTACCTAATATGATTTAGGAACTATATCAGCTAATGAACTTTATGTCAAAGAAGGAAGTTTTCTAGAAAAATCTTGATATCACTTAGTTTGTCAACAAGGGAAAGAAATGGCTCTGAAGATATCGAGAATTCAAGGTTAGACAAATCTCATATCAGGAGTCCTGAAGTAGGTTTGTCCCTTTTACCCACTGAATCTGAAACTCGATAGGGCTATTTTGGCCAAAGCACAAACCTATCCAACAGGCAACACAGTAAAAACAGAACTCCAAGATTCTTTTTTCATTACCGACTTGCTGATGCCTGTCTTCAGAGATGGTGGGGAACCCACTGCTCACTTAGCCAAAGCTTGACCACAAAGCTGCCAGAAGACTCTGTTTAAGTAGGGTTTTATTTATTTTTTAAAATTATTATTTTTATTTTGTGTGTGAGTGCTTTGCCTGTGTGTATGTAAGTGAAGCACGTGCCGTGCAATGCCTTTGGAGATCTGAAGAGGGCATTGACTCCCCTGAAAATGGAGTTACAGACAGTTGTTAGCTGCCATGTGGGTGCTGGGACTCAAACCTGGGTCCTCTGGAAGAACAGAAAGTCAAGTGCTTTTTTTTTTAAATTTGTTTTTAAATAACCATGAAACCACAGATCTTCTAACCTCATTGCTAAAAATGCCCTGGTCAATCTCTCAGAGGCAGCAGGACAGAAAGTACTGACACTTTTACCAAGGCCACTGCAGTCAGACAACATCTCCACGCTTTGACATCAGTTTGTGTTCCATTAGATTACTTTACCTTGGCTGTGTAATGCTGGTGACATGGGCAGATACACCTTATACTTATAACTGCACAAGTATTTGTCAGGTATACTACAAACTGCCTCAGCTGATTTGTCCAGAATATACACTAGAGAGGAAAATAATCCTGCTTTCCCAGGCATTTTAGTATTCTCTCCAAAGCAGATTTAGGGGGTATAACCCAAAACTTTAATAGCAATATTACCATTGGACACAAATGGATAGTTAAGTATAGAATGAGACTAAAACACCTGTACAGTATATTTTTCTTTTTCTTGTATGTTTGGTGTACATGCATGTATGTATGTTTGTATGTGAGTACGGAGGCCAGAAGCAGGTGTTAGGTGTCTTCCTTGCTCATGCTCCACTTTACTTATGGAGGAATGGTCTTTTGCTGAATCAGGAACTTATATATTCTGGCTAATCTAGCTAGCTAGCCAGCTCATCCTGGGGCTCCCTTGTCTCTGCCTCCGAGTGTTGGGATTACAGGTATCTACCATGCCTGCCTGGCCTTTTTATATGGGTCCTAGGGATCCAAATTCCAGTCCTCATGCTCCAGTGGCAAGTGGTCTATGTACAGAGCCATCTCTCCAGCCCATGGATACTGTATTTTTCAGTCATTTCACATACATTATTTTATTCTAATCTGATACAAACACAGTGAAGTAGGCAAGACGTTGATTACTGTTTCCATATGACAGATGTGAACAGTGAAATTTAGAAGAAATAGTTTGCTTTCAGTCTCATATTTTTGGAGTATGAGGCTATAGGGCTCACATGTGAATCCCGGTCTCATTCCTAAAGACAGTGACCTTTTAGGACCTCTTTTCCCAGCACTGGGTCTGGGGTCTGACCTGTGACTGCAGCACTCACCTGCTGATCCTGAAGCTTGACCCCAACGACTCTGAAGGTGTTGCTGGCAGTGTTATGGTAGATGTTGATCCGGCTGAATCCCTGCTGGCCAGGCTTAATTGGTACCCATTTCTTACTGGTGTCATCGTAGACCATCACGGAAGCCCGCGCTTGGCAGATACTCTGTTCACTACAGAGAGGAGAGAGAGAGGAGAGAGGAGAGAGGAGAGAGGAGAGAGGGGAGAGGGAGAGAGAGAGAGAGAGAGAGAGAGAGAGAGAGAGAGAGAGAGAAGGTAGATTCAGAGAGAGGCTCAGTTATGGTAGCTGGAACTGGCTTTGCCCTTTTCTGAAAGGGGACTTGACATAAAGAAACTTGCCAGAACTTCTGTCTACAGCAGGGTTGTGCTGGAAGGTGACAAGTTTATTCTTCAAAGACCATGCAGAGTGGAGAGGAGGATTTGTCCAAACTGAACAGCTTGGGAGACTCCCAGCTTTGCTTTGGGAGGAATGTGCGATTGAATGGGAGAGGAATTATCAATTGGCCAACTGTCTAATAAGACAATGCATCTAAGCACTTCTGCCTCACAGCCTATGACATAGCCAACTTACTACCCGTTTTTTGTTTTGTTTTTTAATATGAGGAAAGAAAGGCTTAGAGTTGGAAGAGTTTGAGTTTACACAGGTTCACATAGTATCTAGTGATGGAATTTCAGATTTCCACCCAGTTCTTCCTAACTCTAGAGTACATCACACAGAGAATTTTTTGCAGCATCTGACAAAATGCTCAAGTACAAGTACCATGACAACAGATCATCAGACAAGCTGTGCAGACAGTGGGGTAGTCAGGTGATCTAGAAAACAGAGCAACAGTTATCAAAACACACGGGTTCTGGGCTGTACTTTGCTGAAGACACTTAGCAAAGGAACCTCGTCTGTTCGGAATACCACAGAAAGAAGCAGAAGCTACTGCTGGAGAGTAAAATGTCATAACTAAAATGAATACAGACACCTGCCAGTGGTGGAGGCAGCGTTTCCAAGCCCCCTGGCTCTTCACTTACTTATATATAAGCCCAAGAATCCTGAACATAAGTTATCAGTTGGAAGCATCTGAGGATTCCCAAACTGAAAGGTAAGAAGTGGCTGTCAGGAGTGGAGAATGCCAGTTATCAGAAAGGAGACCACATAAAGATGATGGTGAACTGGAGACAAAGTCTAAACCCAACCATTCAGTGAATAAAGAGGCAAAATGAACAGTGATAGATAATCAGAACGTCAAGACTAAGTAGGCCACATTCACTATACCAAGCTTAAAAGGGCAGGGAACCAAAGTATTTGGAACAATGCCCTGTCCCCAGCACTGTATTCCTGGGTGACAGAAATGGTGCTTTTTAAGATTAGACCTCTGTGGTTTAGATATTGTGGATGGTCCAGGGTATAGACCTTTCAGTAGGATGCACACAGCAGGTATGTAGTAAGTGCTCAGTAGAGACACTTAGAGCCCTAGATGATCTAATCCAACTCTCCCTCATGTTCAATAAACAGCCCTGACAATGCACACCAGGCCTCTGAATGACTGGGCACTCTCCTAAGAGGCTCACTCATGGTCAAATACCTTCAATCTACACATCCCCCCTTTTTCGTGGGGATGCTCCACTCACTGCTCTCAATCACAGAGAGCATTGTGGATTGTCACTCCACTGGACCACCGAAGAAACATCTTGGTCTTATCTTGGTCTTTTTATCCTTTATTCCTTGATAAAAACTGCCCTTTGCCATATCAGTAACTCCTTATTGTCACACTCTTTCCTCCGTTGTGTGGGTCTTAAGATGGAGCATGATGTGCTAGCCTTGGCACAGATACCAATGAGTCATCAAACAGATGAATAGGATGGCCACTGCTGCACAGAGCTCACAGTCAGGGAATCAGACCAATGACTATAACCTTAACCTGGCCAGGAGAGGCTGGGGGAGCCAGGGGAGACTTGATGAAGGAAAGGTAAAGATGAAGGTGTTTAGCCCCTAGACAAAGCAGATATGGGAATCTAGATGGAGGGGACAGGCAGCCCAGGCAGGGGCAGAGGCAAGAACCATGCAGTATGTAGAGACTACATGCATTATACAGAGTTGTACGTGTTATACAGAGTTGCATGTGGTATGCGGAGAGCCACATTCATTATACAGAGCTGCATGTGGCATGCAGAATTGCATGTGTTATATAGAGCTGCATGTGGTATGGAGAGCTTACACGCATTATACAGAGCTGCATGTGGTATGTAGAGAGCTACATACATTATACAGAGCTGCATGTGTTATACAGAGCTGTTTGTGGTATGCAGAGCTGCATGTGGTATGCAGAGTTACATGTGGTATGCAGAGCTACATGCATTACAGAGCTGCGTATATTATACAGAGCTGCATGTGGTATGCAGAGCTACATATGGTATGCAGAGCTGCATGTGTTATGTAGAGAGCTACATGCATTATACAAAGCTGCATGTGGTATGCAGAGTTGCAGGCCCTCAGTGGGGTGTAGTATACCTGGGGTACCACACATGTTATCCAGGGGTTTTAGGAAGAGAGGTGACATAAAGAGAGCACATGTATTGTACTGTCATGTGTTAGATGCTTCAGCACCAATGATATTTTGGTTACTGTAATTATAAGCCACAAGTTCCTATTTTCTTTCTTTTTTGCTGTTTTTAACACTTTAGGTTCAAATTAAACTTATGGTTAACCACCCTATTTTCCTCTCTCCCATTTGAATGGTGCTTTTCTGTCTCTCATTTTTATTGCTGCTAGAAAGATCTAAATGAAAGAAAATACACTTATTCTACTTGTGACTTATCTTGCTAACTTGAGCTTATTATGCCTCTGAGATAGTATGTGTGCATCATAAAATCTTGACTGCTACCAGCTGTCGTTTCTTCGTTCTCTCTGCTCAGCTGCCTTCTCAACATCTTTACTTGGATGAATGCAAACTGTACTACCCACACACACCATGGGCACTGTGAACTTACTATGTCCAAGTTAGTTACCCTTTGAGGAAATTCAATTGATAATTTCTTTAAAGAGATATTATTTACTAGATAAAAGGGTGAATGAAATATTTTTAAATACACATACAAAGTTATCCTCACTAGATAAAGACTGTTCTACTTCCTTCTCGACAACCCCATATAATGCAGCCTGTGTGGACATGGCCTCAGAGCTCCTCACCTTCTATGGCTCTGACGATTCTCACAAGGTCTCCATCTCTCACAGGCTTCCTTTTATATGATTGTACTACTACTTAACTACGTGTGCATGCATGTGCTTGTTGGAAGGGGCCTCTTTCCTGGCAGAAGGCTTTTTTTTTAGAACAAGCAGCCCAATTCCATTGCCATTTGGGGCTTTTGTAAAGGTATTTGTGAGCCTGTAGTTTCCCTGAGTGGTCTCAAGACAATTCCAAAGAAAGCTTCCAATTGTACTGTGTGTGTGTGTGCACATTTAGTTTTATTGTAACAAAGCAACTTATACACTTTTAACGTTTAAAACTGAGCATTATCTTCTTTCCTTTCCAGTAAAAACAAAAAGATTAAAAAAAAATTACAATAGAGAATGTCAATTCCAAGTAGAATCCTGCAGAGTCTGCTGATTCTCCCATTGAGTGGCAGGGCTCAGGGCACCATGAGGAGGTAAGTTTATCTTAAAAGTGCCATTTTAGGGGCTGGAGAGATGGCTCAGTGGTTAAGAACACTGGCTGTTCTTGCAGAAGATCTGGGTTCAAATCCCAGCACCCACACGGCAGCTAACAACTGTCCGTAACTCCAGTTCCAGGGGATCTGACAACCTCTTGTCTTCCACGGGCATTGCACGACACGGGTGCACTTACCTACATGCAGGCAATACACACATACACATAAAATAAAAATAATAAAATATTTCTTAAAGTGCCATTTTAAACTATAAGGATGTCTGTTAAACATCACAATTAACATGCCAAAGGAGAAGCCATGTTGTCAAAATGCCCACTTAACCCATTCAAATATTTCAAATCTACCCTTTGCTGACCTTCTAGAGCCATTTTTAAAAACTTTTTTTCTTTAAACAAGAGAGTAGACAGGTACATGGTGGTAAATGCTAACTGTTCATATTCACATAGAGACACAGTGTAATGTGCTCCCAGGAACTGGAGGAAATTAAAAAAGAAAATTTTTTTAAAAAAGGTTGGAGTTCATCAGTGTTCTTTTCTTTCAGTCATCTTTTCCTACATCCTCTTCTTCATCCTCATCCCCTTCTTCATCAATATTCCTCCCTCCTCCCTCTCCCCCTCCTCCTCCTCCTTCTTCCCCTTCTCCTCTTCATCATCCATATCAGGAACCAAGTAGGGATTTGGCCAGATGTCGTCCTTGGTGACCTCTCCTTATTCATCTGCACCGGCATCAGAACGGTTAGTGAACCAGGTGAGCAGCTCTCTGCTTCTTCATGCTGCCTCTTCCTGCTGGCTTTATTCTGTGTTTGACTTGGGTGTTTAGTCCAATCCTTTCCAGATTTCCATTTGATTCTGTGGACTTTGAAGATGGATCACCACTCTCATTCAGATAAAGTTCTTTGGAGAAAACTTTATTTTCAAAGTAAGGATTTTCATCAAAATAAAAATCTATTCTGTACCTGATTTTATATCTTCAAATTCTGTCACTTCAACTTTGGTCAAATAATGCAGCATCTCTTCATCCTCCTCCCCAAGCAGTGCAGACACTTGTGGATGGTTGACAAATGTTGTTACCCCCAAATCTGAGATTTTAGCGATCAATTCTGACCTCTTTTGAAAAAAAATAGTTGGTGGAGTTTATTATATTTCTGTTCTACGTTCAAAATTTCCTCACTGGCTTCTTCATTAAGTCTGTCTATTTCATTTTGTATTTCATCAATATGTTCAATTGCTTCTTCTTGTTCTTTTTCTCCCTTCTGCAAGCCAGGGGAGGCCAAGGAGTCAGCCAGCTTCAGGGCAGATTCGGGTCTGGGCTTCTTGGGCTGATTGCCATTTCCAGGCCATGCCACGAGCAAAGTCTGAAAAGCAGAGCCCAGCCCCGATGCAGATGGCTGCAGGAAACTCGGAGCAGGAGGAAGCCCCCCAACTTGTACTTTTTGTGACTTAGAGATAAACAGTGTTACTCTGGGCCTCATTTTCCTTATTTGCACTTGAAGGGT